CCCCAAAACCCCAAAACCCCAAAACCCCAAAACCCCTTTAGGAACATTCGGTCCTGAAACAATAAATTTCTTTAAGTATGAGTTCAACTACATTTTTTTACAACAAATGTCAATAAAAAGGCAAAAATATGCTAATTTTTACTAAAATTAGACCAGAACTCGACTTCGGCTTACATAGATCTTCTCTTTCTCCAATACTTCTTCTTCGAGCCAATTGACCGATTGGTCAATACTTTCTTGGAGGACTTTCTGAAGTGCCTCTGTGTTTTTGCATACGTTTCAACTTTCTCGGCAGCCTTCGGATCGACAGAATCCTTCGTTGAGATGTAACGCTTATGCATCCGCTCCATCAGCATTCTCTTCAGGTCATCTTGGTCAAGCTTTAAAGAGTTGGTGTTCTTGCGATGGCCTTCCAGAGCTTTGTTAGAGTCAATATTATCCTGTGAGAAGCGCCTCACCTTCTTGATAGAAGGGTTACGCTTAGTCTTGAAGATAATGCGGCCATCTTCAGAACTTTTCTTGCTCATGAATCCTCTGCTTTTTGGTATTGCTATAAGGTTTATTGATAGAATTACCGATTTGTGGCTTTGAATTTGAACTCCCTTTTACACTAAATAAATGGTTGTTGTTTTGGAAGATAGGTTTGTTTATCATCCGATTACTCAACAGGACATCATCAACATTAGTCTTAGTCCGTCGATGGCCCTTACTGGTAGATCCCTTCGGCAATTTTAGAGCGTCTTCTTACTCTTCCATTGCTTAAGGTTAACTTTGTCAAATTTATGCTTAGACAGATGCTCGGTGATTGTTTTAGCAGGACTGGCAATCTTCTTAGTAGACCTTTCCTTAGAATCCCTCCTTTTTGAAAAGAAATCTATTTGTGAAGGGAAAGCTTACTTTTCTCCTTTCAGCTCTTGCTCTTGATCATTGTTGTCTTTGTGGAAGACTTGTTAGTCTGAGAATGGGCGCTACTATATTCTCCTCGAGGAGTCTGTGACATTATTGTGCCTTTCTGCACACTAGATTTTTGAAATTTTTGCTTTAAACCTTTGAATTTCTCACTAAAATTCTTTTTGTTCACGTTGAAGTTAGTTGTTACAAAGTCATGGAGATTATGATTAACCAACTGTATCACACTATTTTTACCCTCTAAGCGGGATCTAAAGCCTGAAATTTTTTCTTTGGGCTCGGAAGGACTATATCAGCTTCCGAAATCTGGCATAACTTGATTCTTCTTAAACTTATTATTAAACGATTCCTCATGAGTATTCGAGATTGAAAAATCAACTGAAATACTAGAGTTCTCGATAACTCTAGAACCTTGGCTGTCAGCTTCACAAAATTTATCAACAAGCTCGTCAAGCTGCTGAGGGATATCCCTTGTTCCTCTTTGTAAGACAGACTCCTGATCTAGTCTAAGCATAGATCTCTCGAAAGACTTTGTAAATATTTTATTTCTGTTAAATAAATCAATAGAGTACTCATCTGGGTTGTAGTACTTTTTTTTCTTTCTTTCCTTGTCATTCCGCTGGCTCTTGACCTTTTGAGAGATGCGTTGCCTCTCATCAATATAGCGCTGTTTGCGCTCGATATTCTTGAACATAAACTTGTTCTCAGGAATGCGGATATAGTTGGGGAAAACTTTGCTGTACTTCTCATAAAAATCGACAACCTTTGGAATCCGATCAATGCTTTCCTTATGTGTGTAAAACCTTTTTAGGAATTCACTAATATCATCCATTATCAAGTAATCCTTGAAGATAGATACAAGATTTGTGTTTTCATTATAAATTATATCTGTGACTACCTTTCCGTTGTAGTATTCACGACTTGTGAGGTATTTATCAAGGTTCTTCTTGACAATCCCCTGCAGCAGATTATCTGATAACCGAGGGACAGGACTGTTACTACCTGGAGAAATAATCTGTGATTGTTGGTTACTAAAGCAAAAGATGCATTCCTTCAAACTATTTGATACAATTGATGAAAATGCTTTTGTGTCCTTCTTAGCCATAGAATCACTAAACCTGTACTTCAAGTTTTGCTTCACATTGTCTATATGGTATAAGAATTTTGAAATAGGGAACACGAGCATAATTTTAATGAGGAAATGCTTACCACTCTGCATTGCTAATGAGTCTTCTTGTTCATCTGTAACTAAGATGAGACACCAAAAGATTAGCTGAAATGTAGGAGCTCCAATTGTCAACAATGCAGGCAAGCTTACCTTTACAATGGCCTTCTTGGTTGGGAATCCTTGGAGAAGCGGCTAGCGTGAACACATCTTTTGGAATCGACTTTTTGCACCCTTCTAAAATAGATAAGAAATACAAGAAGGTGGTCAATCAAAGTTCTGTCTCTGTATTACTTACTTGAAGGAGTTATTGATTGTGTCAAACACCTTTGGTTCATTATTATTGAAATTATTTATCAATCCATTAATTTAAAATTGGGGTTTTGGGGTTTTGGGGTTTTGGGGTTTTGGGG